ATGCGGCGTGGGGCCGCCGGCGGCGCTGCTGCCGCGCACGCTGCGCTGTGGGCGTCACCATCGCGTCCTCGCCGCGTCGCCGACGTCACTTGCCGCTCGCGGCTGCCCTGCCCTTCCCTGCCATCGCGCAAACAAACACACACACACACAAACACACACACATTATTAATGCTCGGGTAATAATTATTAATTATTAATCATCGGGCGGCGGCGCGGCGCGGCGGCGGGCGGCGCGAGGCGGCGGCGCGGCGAGGCAGCGGGCGACGCAGGGCGGGGCGGCGCGGCGGCGGGTGGTATAATTACTTATTAATTAATTGATAATGAATTAATAATCATCGGGCGGCGGCGCGGCGCGGCGGACGGGCGACGCGCAGCGGGGCGGCACGAACATCTGCTCTGATCAGGCCTTGCCCGGCTTCGATGCATGGCGGGGGTAGTGCCATCTTCGCTTCGTACAGACAACGACCCCGCCGCAACCGTCGCCGGCGCACGACACGTTCCCGTAGGCAGGACTGTCCTCGTCGAGAGTGTGTGCCGCCAAGGCGGGACGCACTCAGGGACAGTGCCGACGGGACGCGGCTCGAGAGACGACTCCCGCGAAGGCACGGCTGGCATCCGTGGCGTGGGGCTCGTCTTCAAAAAGTCGGGCTGGGCATGGCTCTACCCGCAACTTTCTCGCTAACACGCGCGCGCCGCCGAGCCTGCGGCGGGCGCGCTGCGGCCGCACGTCTACCTCCGTCATAGTGCCACGACGTGCGGCCTAGATTTAGCACACGCGCCTCTGCTCGCATACACTCATACAATGAATTGACATCTCCCATGAGTGCGAGATAGGGCTAGCAGTAGGCAGCTAGCCTGTGAGGAGGGCGTCCATAGACACCTCACAAGACCCCACACACGGTTTCGTCCGTGCCTAGCCGGGCGGCGAGATTGCTAGAGGTGGAGCAAGCCTGCTCTAGCCTCGCATGTTACTTCCTGTCGTCTGTTGTGTCGTTGTGCCCTTGTTTGTACTCTTGGCACCGTGGAGTGCTGGGGGGGGCGACAGGGAGGATGTGGCCTTGAGTTATGTGTACGCCTACTCAGGGTGTGTGGCAGCCCGCTGGCTGTGTGTCTTGTGAGCCTGTTTGTGTCTGTGTGTCGCTCGTGCGTGCCGTCATCATCTGTCCAGCGTCCACCCATACCGCGTTGGTGTCCAGTCCGAGCCTGGCTGTTCTTCACCTTCCTACATACATACATAGTCGCCCTTGCGGCTCCCGTGGTGCACCTGAATTCGAATTTGTACCTGTGTTAGTGCCAGTGCGCGCCAGTCCCGTGCCTAGTGTCGTGCGAGGAGTTTTGTTGCAAAATTCTTTTTTCCGCATTATTCTCACCTGAGCCGAACTCCTGTGTGTGTTGAGTGTGTGCAACCGCCAATGGCAGTTAGAACGCCCTCACCCCCCCCAGGAGTTCGGCTCAGGTGAGAATAATGCGGAAAAAAGAATTTTGCAACAAAACTCCTCGCACGACACTAGGCACGGGACTGGCGCGCACTGGCACTAACACAGGTACAAATTCGAATTCAGGTGCAGAGCGGGAGCGGCAAGTGCGTCTATATTTGTCCTGTAGGAAGGAGAGGAGCAGCCAGTCTCGGACTGGA